CATGTAATGTTATTTCTGTGTGCAGGTTTAGGACCAGCCCCTCTGATATTTTCCACGTATAGATTATTATGTATCTCTCCCGCCTGCGCTCAATGGAATACAGATTTAGGCTCTTTAGTTGGTCCCAATAGTTTAGATGTTTTACTGAGTGGATTCTAGCATTAAAGGATCTCTGCACGCTCTCCAGGTCAACAATTTCTTCAGCTTTGAAAGGGGCTGTCATTGTGCAGCAGTACTCCGCTCTGGAGAGTACAAGCGTCTTGAAAAGTATCATCATTGGTATAGCATCTCTAGTGTGAAAAGTTCTTGTTACCCAACCTGTCATTTTTCTTGCAGTTGTAACAGCTACTTTATTGTGTTCTTTAAAGGTAAGGTCTTCCGACATGAGTACACCCAGATCCTTTACATTGCCTTTTCGTTCTATGTTATGATTTGTCGTTTTGTACGTGGTTTCCGTTTTTATATTTTCATTTTTTCCCGTAGCGCATGAGCTAGAACTTATCTTCGTCAAACACCATATTATTTTCTGTAGTTCATAGAAAGACCTGATTTACATCTGATTGGAGGTTTGCCGTGTCCTCTATGTTGCCTACTCTCATGAAGATCCTAGTGTCATCTGCAAAGGATGATACAGTGCTATAGGTTGTGTTCTTGTCTATGTCCGAAATGAGGATGAGAAAAAGTACTGGAGCAAGCACAGTACCCTGAGGGACTGAGCTCTTCACGGTTGATGGGCTGGATTTTATTTTGTTGACTATTACACATTGGGTTCTGTTAGTCAGGAAATTGTAGATCCATCTGCCTATTTTTCCGGTAATTCCTTTTGAACGCATTTTATGTGCAATAACACCATGGTCACATATGTCGAAGGCTTTTACGAAATCTGTGTCAGTGTGACACCGTCACTGTGACACAGTATGACCCCGTCAGTGTGAGGAAGGTGATGACCCCGTCAGTGTGAGGAAGGTGATGACCCCGTCAGTGAGTGGAAGCTTAAAATTATTTCAATGGTTATTGTCCAGCAAATATTATAAATTCTCTCTCTTGCCCATGATTTTTCCCCCTCTCCTGGACTTAGGGTTTCCCCTCTCCTGGACATAGGGTTTCCCCTCCCCTGGACGTAGGGTTTCCCCTCCCCTGGACGTAGGGTTTCCCCTCTCCTGGACGTAGGGTTTCCCCTCTCCTGGACGTAGGGTTTCCCCTCTCCTGGACTTAGGTTTTCCCCTCTCCTGGACGTAGGGTTTCCCCTCCCCTGGACGTAGGGTTTCCCCTCCCCTGGACGTAGGGTTTCCCCTCCCCTGGACGTAGGGTTTCCCCTCCCCTGGACGTAGGGTTTCCCCTCTCCTGGACGTAGGGTTTCCCCTCCCCTGGACGTAGGGTTTCCCCTCCCCTGGACGTAGGGTTTCCCCTCCCCTGGACGTAGGGTTTCCCCTCTCCTGGTCGTAGGTTTCCCCTTAACTTGACGTATAAGGTAGAGTGACTGTGGTTGTGTGAGAGTGGCGTGTTATAGAGGAGGGGACACGAGAGGACAGCTACTGTGTCTCCCCCACAATAGAGGAGCTCCCCCAGGCGGGATGAACATCATAACCCCTGGGGGAGTGTGTGTGTGGTGTGGTGGCCCCAGGGTCGAGATAGCGCTGCAGGTCAATAAGAGAGTCGACCTTAAGTCCCTCCTATTCTTCTGACTTTAGGAAGGGATTTGGGGCACGGGAGGCGAGGGATTTTCAGCCGGTTGTTGAAATTGGATCTTGCGGTGGGTAATGTGCGTGAGTGCGGCGCTGCTCTTGAGTGCAAGCACCAGGTGCTGGGTCGTCTTGCATGTCACTTGGAGGGTAGGAGCGGAGGGGCTCAGAGTCCTGTGTCCACCCTGATGGCGCAATGCACCTTTTTTTTAAGATCTCCAAAATTAAGGAGTCATTAATGAAAATTCTTTTTTAAATGCAGCATAAGAATTAGTGGTTGATGAGTGGTAGGTAGGTGGTAGGTGGTAGGTGGTAGGTAGGTGGTAGGTGGTAGGTAGGTGATAGCTTGGACCCCTGATAGGGGTGGGTGGCGCTGGTCAGTCACGGTAATTAGTCCAGCCTATGTACAAGCGCACCTGTCTCACCACCTGTTTGGTCCACCACCACCACCTGCCTCGCCCACTACCACCACCTGCCTCGCCCACTACCACCACCACCTGCCTCGCCCACTACCACCACCTGCCTCGCCCACTACCACCACCACCTGCCTCGCCCACTACCACCACCTGCCTCGCCCACTACCACCACCTTCCTCGCCCACTACCACCACCACCTGCCTCGCCCACTACCACCACCACCTGCCTCGCCCACTACCACCACCACCTGCCTCGCCCACTACCACCACCTGCCTCGTACCAGAGCTGTGAGGAGCGAAGAACGAGGCAGACGGGTGAAGGACCTCCTCTTCGTCCAGAGACGAAGTGGAGGAGACATGATAACGGGGGCGTTGATGGACGCTCAGCAGAGGGAAATATGTTAGTGACCGTTGTTGATGACCGTTCAGCAACGGGGAGTTGATGACCGTTCAGCAACGGGGAGTTGATGACCGTTCAGCAACGGGGAGTTGATGACCGTCCAGCAACGGGGAGTTGATGACCGTTCAGCAACGGGGAGTTGATGACCGTCCAGCAACGGGGAGTTGATGACCGTTCAGCAACGGGGAGTTGATGACCGTTCAGCAACGGGGAGTTGATGACCGTCCAGCACATGGATGTTGATGACCGGGCAACCGTGAAAGTATCGAAAGCGAATATGTTCATATTTGTATACGCCGTTCTGATGTTTGGCAGCGTCCCATATGCTGCCAGTGTTATCCCGTGTATGTGTGCGCCTCTGGTGTTAGTGTTGGAATTATATCGAGTGCTTAGATATCTACCCTGTGATTCCTCAAGTGGCCTTGAGCGTACGGTGCAGAACATTACTGGGCTGTCAACTGTTATCTTGTGAATTGCTTTACACTTGTTGGGGGGTTGAACTCTACCAGCCGCTTGTGGACCCTCCCACTCCTGTCACTCTCTACAGTCGTCCTGGGTGATCACACGCCTCATTACTGATGTATACGCGGCCACTCCCTCGGCACTGTAGGCCGCTTCAAAGCACAGCAATACATAAACCAGCTTCACAGATCTTAATTAATTTAGTTTTATTCATTTGGTGTTAATTTGTGGCTTAGGTGTAGTGTAGAGAGTGCGAAAAAGAGAGGAGGGGAGGGGGTGTAACAAGGGTGGGGTGGGTGTAGGGGGGGGGGCTGTGGAGGCGTTTGGAGGGGGGATGGAGTGGGGAAAAACTGGAGGGAGAGTTGTATGGGCCCGGGAGAGGGCCCCTCGCCCCTGGGAAGGGGCCCGTGGGTAATGAAGCATGGAGGTGTCGCGCGGGTCGCCCTCACCATTATCCACATCCCCCCCTCACCCCTCTCCCCCTCACCCCTCTCCCCCTCACCCCTCTCTCTCCAGCACGCTCCTCCCCTACCGAACCTTCTCTCTCTCTCTCTCTCATCCCTTCCGCACCCCTCAGCTCTCACATCACCCCCCCTCCCCCCCCACCCACCCCCACTCACCGTCAACCTCCTCTTCCACCCCTTTTCCCCTCCTCCCAGTACCCCCTGTCCCGGCCAGCCCCATCCCCACCCCCTCCCCCCAACATGTTATTATCTACACCTCCCGCGAGCCCTCCATTATATATATCCTATCATACATTCTTCATTCCTGCCACCATCAGCCCAGCACGGCCGCCCCCCCCACCTCTCCTGGCCCCCCTCTCCCTCCCTGCCACCAGGGCAGGATCCCTGCCACCAGGGCACCACATCCCTGCCACCAGGGCACCACATCCCTGCCACCAGGGCACCACATCCCTGCCACCAGGGCACCACATCCCTGCCACCAGGGCACCACATCCCTGCCACCAGGGCACCACATCCCTGCCACCAGGGCACCACATCCCTGCCACCAGGGCACCACATCCCTGCCACCAGGGCACCACATCCCTGCCACCAGGGCACCACATCCCTGCCACCAGGGCACCACATCCCTGCCACCAGGGCACCACATCCCTGCCACCAGGGCACCACATCCCTGCCACCAGGGCACCACATCCCTGCCACCAGGGCACCACATCCCTGCCACCAGGGCACCACAACCCTGCCACCAGGGCACCACAACCCTGCCACCCTGGGACCACATCCCTGCCACCAGAGCACCACAACCCTGCCACCAGGGCACCACATCCCTGCCACCAGGGCACCACATCACTGGCACCAGGACACCACAACCACACCTTGACACTCTGACACCCTGACACCCTGACACCTTGACATCTTGACACCTTGACACCCTGACACCCTGACACCTTGACACCTTGACACCCCTGACACCTTGACACCTTGACACCTTGACACCCTGACACCCTCACACCCTCACACCCTCACACCCTCACACCCTGACACACCCTGACACCCCTCACACCCTCACACCCTGACACCTTGACACCCTGACACCCTCACACCCCTGACACCCTGACACCCTCACACCCTGACACCTTGACACCTTGACACCTTGACACCCTGACACCCTGACACCCCTGACACCCTGACACCCTGACACCCTGACACCTTGACACCCTGACACCCCTGACACCCTGACACCCTCACACCCTGACACCTTGACACCTTGACACCCTGTCACCCTGACACCCCTGACACCCTCACACCCTCACACCCTCACACCTTGACACCCTGACACCCTGACACCCTCACACCCTGACATAGTGCTTCTGTCCATCATATTAATTGCCTGCTTCACCCTCCTGGCTTTTACCCTTATCTTGGCCCGGTGCCAGCCGGAGGCATCTGGCGGCACCACACCAGCTGTGGCACCCCTGGCAACCCCACTACCACCTGGCTGGTCATCCACACCGCCACCACCTGGCTGGTGGTGTAGATGCCCTCCGCTCACCCTCAGGTAGCCCTCCGCCCACCCTCAGGCAGCCCTCCACCCACCCTCAGGCATCCCTCCGCCCACCCTCAGGCAGCCCTCTGCCCACCCTCAGGCACCCCTCCGCCCACCCTCAGGCACCCCTCCGCCCACCCTCAGGCAGCCCTCCACCCACCCTCAGGCACCCCTCCGCCCACCCTCAGGCAGCCCTCCGCCCACCCTCAGGCAGCCATCCACCCACCCTCAGGCACCCCTCCGCCCACCCTCAGGCAGCCCTCCGCCCACCCTCAGGCAGCCCTCCGCCCACCCTCAGGCAGCCCTCCGCCCACCCTCAGGCACCCCTCCGCCCACCCTCAGGCAGCCCTCCACCCACCCTCAGGCACCCCTCCGCCCACCCTCAGGCAGCCCTCCGCCCACCCTCAGGCAGCCCCCCGCCCACCCTCAGGCAGCCCTCCGCCCACCCTCAGGCAGCCCTCCGCCCACCCTCAGGCACCCCTCCACCCACCCTCAGGCAGCCCTCCGCCCACCCTCAGGCAGCCCTCCGCCCACCCTCAGGCACCCCTCCACCCACCCTCAGGCAGCCCTCCGCCCACCCTCAGGCAGCCCTCCACCCACCCTCAGGCAGCCCTCCGCCCACCCTCAGGCAGCCCTCCACCCACCCTCATTATCATTTACACCTCAGGAGACCATCTGCTGAAAATGAGTCATTAAACCCATTAATGATTTGAGTGCACCAGCTGGCCACACTCCTCATACACCAGCTGGCCACACACCTCATACACCAGCTGGCCACATACCTCATACGCCAGCTGGCCACATACCTCATACACCAGCTGGCCACACACCTCATACACCAGCTGGCCACACGCCTCATACACCAGCTGGCCACACACCTCATACACCAGCTGGCCACACACCTCATACACCAGCTGGCCACATACCTCATACACCACCTGGCCACACACCTCATACACCAGCTGGCCACACACCTCATACACCAGCTGGCCACATACCTCATACACCAGCTGGCCACATACCTCATACACCAGCTGGCCACACACCTCATACACCAGCTGGCCACACACCTCATACACCAGCTGGCCACACACCTCATACACCAGCTGGCCACATACCTCATACACCAGCTGGCCACACACCTCATACACCACCTGGCCACACACCTCATACACCAGCTGGCCACACACCTCATACACCAGCTGGCCACACACCTCATACACCAGCTGGCCACACTCCTCATACACCAGCTGGCCACACACCTCATACACCAGCTGGCCACACTCCTCATACACCAGCTGGCCACATACCTCATACACCAGCTGGCCTACACAAAGAGTGCACCAGCTGAGCCACAGCCTGTACATGTGACCATTGCTTGTACACGCGTCGGAAGAACATCGACTCGCGTACCGCAGATCTGCTGTCTGCTGCTGTCTGCGCAGGACCCCAGGACAGGTGTGGCTGTCTGCGCAGGGTCCCCAGGATAGGTGTGGCTGTCTGCCCGGGGCCCCAGGACAGGTGTGGGGCGCGGGGTAGAGCTGGTGAAGGAGCTGAGAGCGGGAGCGGCAGGGGCGTGCTACAGGAGCTGAGAGAGAGAGAGAGCGAGCGTGCAGGGGCGCCTCGGGTCTTCAAAGGAGAACTTGTGATTCACAGGGCGTGTGAGGCGGTGCGTGTCATCCATGTGGCGGCAGCGGCCGGGTCCACCAGCCGTGGTCACCCGGTCCACCACCAGCCCGGTCCTCCACCAGCCGGGTCCACCACGCCCGGTCCACCACGACCCGCTGGGCCATCTGGATACCGGCCATTGTGGGTTCTTACTTGTTGCCCCCAAAAACGCGCGTTTCTCTAATCAGTGTTCAGCCAATGGGGGTCCTCCGGTTATGCTGGGAGCACAGTGGCCAACGGTGCTGGAACGGTGCTTACGCCGCCAACCCTTGCCGTGGAATCGAACCCGGGTCTTCTCCCTTACCTGGACGAGTTACGACAGTCCTCCAGGGGTCAGGCTGCCCCTCTCACCTTCTCCCTCACTGCTTCATTCAATAGTTTTAAACCCAACAAAAACATATATTGTGAGGCTCAGGTTTTGTGGGGGGGACACTAATGATCCGCTACTGTTTATGGGGGGCCACAGGGAGTTGCTATCCCCCTGTGGCTCTCAGGGCTAGCCGCGCCTCGACCCTTGGGCCCTCAGGGCTAGGGCACCGTTTCGTGAAGACACACTGCCATGGGGTTGTAAAAAACCCCTCTCAAGGTCTAACATTTTGTGAGGGGTCTTCCCTCACTCCTCGTGTTAAGCAAGAGTTGTGGTGGCGGGGGGAGTGTGTCCCCCTCCCCTCCTCCTCCGTGTGGCGTGGGGGGCGTGTGGCGAGGGGAGGGCGTGGTGGAAGGCTGGGGGGAGGGAGCAGGGGTGGCGCTAGGCGTGTGTAAACTGTGAGTGCGGCGTGCTGGGTTTGCTAAGCCGGCCCGTCATCTGCAGCAAGAGCTAAGCCGCGCTGCTCCCCCCCACCCACCCTCCCTCCAAACCCATCCTTTCCAACAACCCCTCCCCCTGCCCCCTCCCCCTTGCCCCCCACATGCCCCCACCTGCCCCCTCACTCTGCTAAGCTCCTGCCACCCCACTTGTGGTCTTGGGAGTCTCCCCTCCTGACTTTGCTGCTTTTCTGTTCTTGTTCCTGTTCTTGCTGCTGCTGCTGCTGTTGCTTCTGCTGCTACTGTTGCTGCTGCTGCCGTTGCTGCTGCTGCTGTTGCTGCTGTTGCTTCTGCTGCTACTGTTGCTGCTGCTGCCGTTGCTGCCGTTGCTGCTGTTGCTGCTTCTTATTCTTGGCGAAACTGCTGCTACCTGATGCTGTTGATATTCTAGGTGAAGTTATTTCAGCTGTTGATGCTGCAGTTGCTGCTTCTTCTATTGTTGTTGTGCTGCGGGCTTTGTTGTTAGTGGTGTAGGTGATGGTGTTGGTGATGGTGTGGGTGTTGTGAAGGTGTTGGTGTAGGTGTTGGTGTAGGTGTGGGTGTGGGTGTTGGTAGGGGTGGTGTGGACGGGTGCAGGCGTCAGCCATTATCTCTCACCACCAGGACAGCCCGATAACATGCTCCCTCCACCATCACCACCACCACAACCCTCCAATGCCTTCCCTCTCTCCCTCACTCCCTATTCCTCCTTGTCATCTCCATCCGCCTACTGTCTACGGTGGCTTGTGTCTTCATTTCTCTCCTTTCTTATATTTCCCTTATTCTTTGCAAGTACTTATACTTCCTCCCACCCTTCCTCTCCCACCCTTCCTCTCCCACCCCTCTTCTCCCACATCACCCAGCCACCAAGATAAATTTCTCCCACGCTTTCCCAGTAAATTATGACAAAATTCAGAGACAAATTCCTTGCACACCTCCTGCTTGACTTCCTCCCAGCTCCCTCCCACGTCACAGTCTCCCAGGCTCTCCCTAGCGCCCTCACTCCCACGCTTTATATTAGTATCTCCCAGGCACTCCCGAGCGCCATCTGGCTCCTGGCATCATGTGGTCCCTAACTCTTGCTGGCGCTCTCAGTCCGTCTCGCTTCCTACCCCCACCTGCGCCTTCCCAGCGTGTTCCTGAGTGTGCAGGATCTTGTGGTTCCCTGTTGCTTCCTTTACTCTATCCTCGTCTCCCTCTGCTTCCTTGCTCTCTACTGTGTATCCGGGCTGTGGCTCCTTCTGGAGCTTCCTGGTCATCTGTGGCTGGCCCCCTAGGAGCGTGCCGGGGCATAGATGGTGGCACGGTGTGGCCCGGCGGCTGCAGGCTACACAGATGGTTGCGGTAATATCCGTGCGTGCGGCCGCCTGAGTGATGACCCGGTAATAATTGCCTGCTGCGGATCCTGCGCCTCGACACCCACACCAGAATTTTCACTTTCCGGAATTTACTGGCTTACTGGGGCAAAGACATTTTGTTGTTGTTGTTGCTCCCTTGTGTTATAGGAGCTGTTGTGGGATCCGGCAGTGTGGCTCAGACCGTTATATACCCCCACCATCTCCACTCCAGGACACGCATCTTCCCCTTCCTCCCTCCTTCCCTCTTTATCTTCCCTTTCCTTCCTCTCAACACAGAAATCACAGGTCAGGGCTGAACAGCGTTTGAATAAGTTGACCATCAAGAGCAGTCGAGGAAGAAGATGTTAAGCCTTATCAGCGCTCACCGAAAGGGCAATACTCTCCCATATCAATAAATGTAAGGAAGCTGATTACATTCCAGTTCCCAGACCTGGAGATGTATCATCATCTATAACCCCATTCCCCCCCCCCCTCCCCCTTACACAGTCAAGACAATGGGAACGACCATTCTCGACTGCCTCAAATGGACAATTGTATCCTTTCATCTAAACATAAAAAAAAACATTTACATTTGTGGTGACCTTGTTAAACCCGGTGACCATCCTCCTGCACCCCCCCCCCCCTCAGACCCATCTAGCAGGTGGGTGAGGGAAGGTGACCATCCTCCTGCACCCCCCCCCCTCAGACCCATCTAGCAGGTGGGTGAGGGAAGGCTTCGCTCCACACCCAACTCTGAAGGAAGAGGTCGTGGAAGCCACTTAATTCCATCCACAGCCTTAAAGCAAGATACGACAAAAATTCGAACGGCATGAAAATTCAATTAAAGCACAACAGGTGCAACAAAGCTAGCACTTGGGGGGGGATGAGGAGCTAGACCTCGCTTTTCCGTAGTCACTGTTAGGTAAGAAGCACACTGAGCACACCACTCCACCCACAGGCGCCCTTGGTGAAGGCTGTGTTGATCTGCACCTCGCTGAGTGGGGCGGCCCGCACTCTCTCCCCCCTCCCCCCCCCCCGACCACCACCACACGCCCGGGGGAGTTCAATGGAAGGGGGGGGGGAGGGGAGGGGGATCATTGACGCTCCTTTGCACCTCTGGCCTAGTCACTCCCTCCCTCCCCTACCCTCCCCGCCCTCCGCCACCACCTGCCACAGCGAGAAGTGTCAGCGCGACCCCCCAGGGTGAGTGTGAGGTGGGGAGGGCCTCCCCCAGGGTGAGTGTGAGGTGGGGAGGGCCTCCCCCAGGGGTGAGTGTGAGGGGACCAAAGAGCCAGAGCTCAACCCCCGCAAGCACAACTAGGTGAGTACACACACACACACACAGTTTCAAGAGCGTCCAAGAGCTAATAGCTCGAGTCCGCAGACACAAATAGTAAACACTATTTGTGATCCCTTAGTTACCATACAACACCCTCCCTGTGAGGGGAATTGACGGGTCTAGTTATATGGGAACGAGCTAGAGGAACTGACACCCCCTCACTCACTCACTCACTCTCTCACTCACTCACTCACTCACTCACTCACTCACTCACTCACTCACTCACTCACTCACTCACTCACTCACTCACTCACTCACTCACTCACTCACTCACTCACTCACTCACTCACTCACTCACTCACTCACTCACTCACTCACTCACTCACTCACTACCTTCCCTGACTCACTCTACCTCACTCCCGAGGCAAAAGGAAGCAGGTAAAGGTGAAAGAGAGACCATTAACTGGGCCAGACGGGTACCCGCAGGTGGGTTCACTCCCCTTGTTAAAGGGAGGGTGATATGGAGTCATGCGGGTGGTTGGGGGGGGGGGGTGATGGACAGGCTGGGTGGAGGGCGTGGGAGGGGGGGGGGCGGGGCGCGGCATGCTGGCTCGGGCCGGGGATAGGGGGGGGGGAGAGGGGTGGTGGAGGGGGATGGAGGTTGTTATCTTCAGCCTGGGGACCACAGTGTTATCTTGTGTTGGAGCCGCGCCCTCCACAATCATCACCACAGCCCAGTCACCAGCACCACTACCCCCCGCCGCTTCCCCTGGCCGCCTCCCCTGGCCACCTCCCCTGGCCGCCTCCCCTGGCCACCTCCCCTGGCCGCCTCCCCTGGCCACCTCCCCTGGCCGCCTCCCCTGGCCACCTCCCCTGGCCGCCTCCCCTGGCCACCTCCCCTGGCCACCTCCCCTGGCCGCCTCCCCTGGCCACCTCCCCTGGCCACCTCCCCAGCCACCTCCCCTGCCACCTCCCCAGCCACCTCCCCTGCCACCTCCCCAGCCACCTCCCCTGCCACCTCCCCAGCCACCTCCCCTGCCACCTCCCCAGGGGTGGCAGCTCGTACATGTCGATGTCTGCCGACGATACATAACTAATGAGGACTTAAAAACACTAGTAGTCCTGTAACTGTGTTGAATGAAGACCTGGGCAGAGTTCAACCCAATAAGTGCAAGGTAATGAATAGGAAAGACCTGGGGATATACCTCCAGCACTCACACCAGGGGGGGAGCACATGTAAACAAGGTAACATCGGCGGCATATGAGACGCTGGCAGGTTTGAGAAGTGTAGACAGTAACCTAAACAAGAAGTCTTTCTCGACACTCTACAGAGCTTTTGTGCGGCGTTGGAAACCGCGTTGAGGTTTACAACAAGGATAATAGTGTCCGAGTTAATAAGAGGGTTAAACTAAACATGATCACTACATGCAAGATACCGAAGGGAAGAAGTAAGGCGAATAAGTCGAAGCTGGAAACGCGAACGAGTCAAATATAACGTAAAGAAATACTGGCACATGCGTGTGAGTAGTCAGCAATTTTGAATGCAGTGAAAGAAGAAGTCGTGGAAGCCATCTCCGCCCACAATGTGAAGGAACTCGAACGAGAGTGAAGTGAACACAACCAGGTACCAGCCGCAACAAGGTTAGTAGACGGGGCATAAAGAGCTAGAGCTCCCTAAACGGAAGTCACTGTTAGGTATCACCACCACCACCACATACACCACCCTAACGACCACCACCACCACCACCACCAACCACCACCACCAACAACAACAACCACCACCACCAACAACAACCACCACCACCAACAACCACCACATCACCACCCTAACAACCACCACCACCAACCACCACCACCCACCACCACCACCACCCTAACCACCACCACCAACCACCATCACCACCCTAACAACAACCACCAACACCACCACCACCCTAACAACCACCACCAACCACCACCACAACCAACAACCACCACACCACTACCACGGGCCTGTCAGTACGTCTTAATCACGGCCGTAAATAATGTTATAAATAATTCTGTCTGCTGCCCTTTCTGGCGACTATTGATTCTTGAGTCAGTCATTTCTGTGGAGGGCGAGTGACCGTCATCCGGACCCGGGACATCCGGACCCGGGACATCCGGACCCGGGACATCCGTACCCGGGACATCCGGACCCGGGACATCCGGACCCGGGACATCCGGACCCGGGACATCCGGACCCGGGACATCCGGACCCGGGACATCCGGACCCCGGGACATCCGGACCCGGGACATCCGGACCCCGGGACATCCGGACCCCGGGACATCCGGACCCCGGGACATCCGGACCCGGGATACTCGGACCCGGGACATTCGGACCCGGGATACTCGGACCCGGGACATTCGGACCCGGGACATCCGGACCCGGGACATCCGGACCCGGGACATCCGGACCCCGGGACATCCGGACCCGGGACATCCGGACCCCGGGACATCCGGACCCCGGGACATCCGGACCCGGGACATCCGGACCCGGGATACTCGGACCCGGGACATTCGGACCCGGGATACTCGGACCCGGGACATTCGGACCTGGGACATCCGCGGCCATGAGGACCACTACACATCTGGCAATATAGTGTAAACATTCATTTACACACACACACACACACACACACACACACACACACACACACACACACACACACACACACACACACACACACACACACACACACACATACACAGACACACAGACGGGAGACCTACCAGAAACATGGAAGACGGCGAATGTGGTCCCAATATACAAAAAGGGCGACAGACAAGAGGCACTGAACTACAGGCCAGTGTCCTTAACTTGTATACCATGCAAGGTGATGGAGAAGATCGTGAGAAAAAACCTGGTAACACATCTGGAGAGAAGAGACTTCGTGACAAATCGCCAACATGGGTTCAGGGAGGGTAAATCTTGCCTGACTGGCTTAATTGAATTCTACGACCAGGTGACAAAGATTAAGCAAGAAAGAGAGGGCTGGGCGGACTGCATTTTCAGGTGTGGCGAGGGCGGGCGACAGGTGGCCCTCATCACCACCACTGACGCAACAGGTGGCCCTCAACACCACCACTGACGCAACAGGTGGCCCTCAACACCACCACTGACGCAACAGGTGGCCCTCAACACCACCACTGACGCAACAGGTGGCCCTCAACACCACCACTGACGCAACAGGTGGCCCTCAACACCACCACTGAGGCAACAGGTGGCCCCTCATCACCACCACTGACGCAACAGGTGGCCCTCAACACCACCACTGACGCAACAGGTGGCCCCTCATCACCACCACTGACGCAACAGGTGGCCCCTCATCACCACCACTGACGCAACAGGTGTCCATCAACACCCACATCAACCACTGCTACAATCTGACGCTTATAGGAATTTACCTTTTGTATTCTCTAAAATTATTTAGTGAAAAGGTTAGTTAAAACTTCCTGCTGTTATCGGCCTCCAGCTCTCCATTGAGTAATATCTAGCAGGATGGGGCTGGGCTTCAGCGCTTGGGTTCCGTCTCTCTCTGTTTTCAACTGGCGTGTGGTGAAAACAGAGAGAGAGAGACGGAACCCAAGAGCTGAATGTTATAACATGATAACATGTCTGTGCATGTTATCATGTTATATCTAGATTTGAAGCTGTGTACAGTGGGTGTCTCCGCAGCACTGCTAGCTGCTCATTGCTGTGACACTGGACACAGTCTCTCTGTCTCTATGGCACTCTTGGCTGTGGTTGTGGTTGTGTTCCCTGCTCCTTCTCTCCTCCACTAACACCACCACCACGGCCGTTACCACCACCGCCACCACCACTACCACCACCACCACCACTATCACCACCACAACCACACTCAACTAATCAGCGCCCTGCCTCACTTCCCTCGCTTTCGCTACCAGTATCCCAGGGAGTGCTGGGCGTCCCAGCACTCCCTGGGACGTCCCAGCTGGGAAGCACAAAGGGGTAGAGTGTGTTGACAGTCCGACATCACACCACACCACCACCCAGCCACACCACACCACACCACACCACACCCCCACCCAGCCACACCACACCACACCACACCACCACCCAGCCACACCACACCACACCACACCACACCACCACCCAGCCACACCACACCACACCACACCACCACCCAGCCACACCACACCACACCACCACCACCCAGCCACACCACACCACACCACACCACCACCCAGCCACACCACACCACACCACACCACCACCCAGCCACACCACACCACACCACCACCCAGCCACACCACACCCACACAACACCACCACCCAGCCACACCACACCACACCACACCACACCACACCACCACCCAGCCACACCACACCACACAACACCACCACCCAGCCACACCACACCACACCACCACACCACCACCCAGCCACACCACACCACACCACACCACCACCCAGCCACACCACACCACACCACACCACCACCCAGCCACACCACACCACACCACACCACCACCCAGCCACACCACACCACCACCCCGCTGGTAGACAGACAGGCTCAGGAATACACACAAGTGTAAGTGAAGAAAAGTACTTAACTACTCCCAATAGTGTGACGGGTTATACCTCCCGTCTAGGGACAGTGCCGTGGAGAGTGCCACTAGGAGTCAGCACCTGGGTAAGGGACGTAGGGCTGAACAGCTGAATTACTGCTCCAAGGGTTCGTAGTAACCTTTGGAGTAACTGTTCATCTGGGCTCAGTGCACAGAACACTTGTCAGTGTTCAGTACTCACTGAACTGAATACTCGCCAACACTCCAACACTTAGACGTGAGACACTAACAGTGAGAGGACAAGATAATGTGGGAGACATTATCTTGACCTCTTGATCCTATGAGGTCACCATTGACCTCGTAGGACTAACCAGGTGAAGAACTAAGGGGGGCAGCGTCCCCCTTAGCCCGAGCACCTTTGCCGCACCTGTGTGTGTTATTTCCTGGCAGCACTAGATAATACACAACATGTGTAGTGTGCTGGGGGAAGTCTGAGGGGAGGACGTCTGAGGGGGAGGAAGTCTGAGGGGGAGGAAGTCTGAGGGGAGGAAGTCTGAGGGGAGGACGTCTGAGGGGAGGAAGTCTGAGGGGGGAGGAAGTCTGAGGGGGAGGAAGTCTGAGGGGGAGGAAGTCTGAGGGGAGGAAGTCTGAGGGAGGAAGCCTGAGGGGAGGAAGTCGGAGGGGAGGACGTCTGAGGGGGAGGAAGTCTGAGGGGGAGGAAGTCTGAGGGGAGGAAGTCTGAGGGGAGGAAGTCTGAGGGGAGGACGTCTGAGGGGGAGGAAGTCTGAGGGGGAGGAAGTCTGAGGGGAGGAAGTCTGAGGGGAGGACGTCTGAGGGGGAGGAAGTCTGAGGGGAGGAAGCCTGAGGGGAGGAAGTCTGAGGGGAGGAAGTCTGAGGAGAGGAAGTCTGAGGAGAGGAAGTTGCCACACTGTCTGGGGAAATTAGTGAATGACATATGAGGAAGGTTCCCGTGACTTGGAAATGCTTCTCAATAGTTGGCAGGGTGAGAGGCAGAGTATGAGGGAGACTGGCAGGGTGAGATATAGAGTATGAGGGGGACTGGCAGGGTGAGATATAGAGTATGAGGAGGACTGGCAGGGTGAGATATAGAGTATGAGGAGGACTGGCAGGGTGAGATATAGAGTATGAGGAGGACTGGCAGGGTGAGATATAGAGTATGAGGAGGACTGGCAGGGTGAGATATAGAGTATGAGGAGGACTGGCAGGGTGAGATATAGAGTATGAGGGAGACTGGCAGGGTGAGATATAGAGTATGAGGGGACTGGCAGGGTGAGATATAGAGCATGAGGGGACTGGCAGAGTGAGATATAGAGTATGAGGGAGACTGGCAGGGTGAGATATAGAGTATAAGGAGGGGGGGACCTATCAGGGCAGGGAGAGTGGTGGGGGGAGAGAGAAGGATGGGAGGGGGGAGAGAGAGAGAGAGAGGAGAATGGTGGGGCGAGTGATGGAGAGTGGCGGGGCGGCGTAAGTGTATCCGGTAGCAAGCCTTGGGGCGGAGTCGGAGATTGTTAGCTGGGACAGCCAGTTGTTAAGAGTGGGTGGCCCTGGGGGGGGGGGTGTTCCCATGGGATGGGGGGGAGGGGATGTGGCACCCTTGTCGTTGGGGGGGATGCACCTTGGTCGGGTAGAGGGGAAAGAATCAATATGAAGTATTGGAAAGCCTGAAAATCTTCAACATTCTGAACACAAAACAGGTGAAAGATTACATGAGGAACAAGCCGAAGTCCGGCGTCAATGTGGGGGGGGGGGAGAAGGGACGGCTGGAGGCCTGCAAAAATGGCGGGTGGGAGGATGAGGCAGGCAGGCAGGCAGGCAGCCGGCACAAGAGTGATGTGTTGCCTGGCCGGCACCGCGGGGAGTGAGTGGGAGGGTACACGCGGCAACACGGTAGCAGGGTGGTATGAGGAGCAGCAGGCTACTGCACTCTGAGGAGCAGGCTGCAGGCCACCACCTGGCTAATGCAGGCCACGTCCAGCGACGTCGAGGGCAGTAAATGATTAGAGATTGGGAAGGACCCCGCGGGTGTGTTGAGCAGGGCGGCGACACCCAGCCCTGTGAGGGCGGCGACACCCAGCCCTGTGAGGGCGGCGACACCCAGCCCTGTGAGGGCGGCGACACCCAGCCCTGTGAGGGCGGCGACACCCAGCCCTGTGAGGGCGGCGACACCCAGCCCTGTGAGGGCGGCGACACCCAGCCCTGTGAGGGCGGCGACACCCAGCCCTGTGAGGCGGCGACACCCACCCTGTGAGGGCGGCGACACCCAGCCCTGTGAGGGCGGCGACACCCAGCCCTGTGAGGGTGGCGACACCCAGCCCTGTGAGGGCGGCGACACCCAGCCCTGTGAGGGCGGCGACACCCAGCCCTCTGAGGGCGGCGACACCCAGCCCTGTGAGGGCGGCGACACGAGGGCTGGGTGAAGTTTTCACATTTTCACAGCTCTCAAGTGCGCTTATTTACTCACTACAGAGCACTGCTCGTCTTGTGTTCCTTTCTATGTAGTTTAATGCCTTAACAATGACAGATGTGCTGGCGTCGGGGAGGGATAGTCGAGAACCCGCGCATTTTCTTCATTTGTGGTCTGGAATCCATTATTCTTAATTACAGTGTACGCTGCTCCAGCCCTGTAATTGGGAAGATTAGCAGATCCATCAGTGTAAATTTGGTCTGATTCGTTTTCTGCCTCTTTATTAATTTCCCCGAGGCACTTATGCCTCATTTCTTGTGGTAACGTGTTGGATTTTTCCGTTGTCAGCCCCGTTTAGTTTAATTTTGACATGGTTCATCCTCCAAGGAAGGCTCGTCCGGCAGAGACCGTCTCTCGGACCGGCTCCAACAGCTAGCAAACTGATCTTGCTCCTGTAGTGTGTTTGGGTAAATTGGTCCCATGTTGCGCTGAGTCTGTTCAAGATCGTTATTCCCGCTGTCGTTGCGGCGCTGGATAAGGGAATTAGGAACAACTTCGTCTATATACACAGCAGCTTGTCCTTTTCAAGGGGCAATGTTGGTAGAGAGGAGCACTAAGTATTGTCCTTCATCTCCAGAATTCTTAATCCTTATCTTAGCATTCTTGCAGGAGCCGCATCTGTTGTTTACTGTCTGCTTGTTTGGAGCTCCTCAATTGGTAAGGGATAATCACTGTCACCTGCCATGGTAGCAACGGGGGCGTGGCGTGGCAGGGGCGGGAGGAGGCGAGGCGTGGCAGGGGCGGGAGGAGGCGAGGCGTGGCAGGGCGGGAGGAGGCGAGGCGTGGCAGGGGCGGGAGGAGGCGAGGCGTGGCAGGGGTGGGAGGAGGCGAGGCGTGGCAGGGGCGGGAGGAGGCGAGGCGTGGCAGGGGCGGGAGAGGCGAGGCGTGGCAGGGGCGGGAGGAGGCGAGGCGTGGCAGGGGCGGGAAGAGGCGAGGCGTGGCAGGGGCGGGAGAAGGCGAGGCGTGGCAGGGGCGGGAGGAGGCGAGGCGTGGCAGGGGTGGGAGGAGGCGAGGCGTGGCAGGGGCGGGAGGAGGCGAGGCGTGGCAGGGGGGGGAGGAGGCGAGGCGTGGCAGGGGCGGGAGGAGGCGAGGCGTGGCAGGGGCGGAGGAGGCGAGGCGTGGCAGGGGCGGGAGGAGGCGAGGCGTGGCAGGGGCGGGAGGAGGCGAGGCGTGGCAGGGTGGGAGGAGGCGAGGCGTGGCAGGGGCGGCAGGAGGCGTGGCGTGGCAGGGGCGGGAGGAGGCGAGGCGTGGCAGGGGTGGAGGAGGCGAGGCGTGGCAGGGGCGGGAGGAGGCGAGGCGTGGCAGGGGTGGGAGGAGGCGAGGCGTGGCAGGGGCGGGAGGAGGCGAGGCGTGGCAGGGGCGGGAGGAGGCGAGGCGTGAAGGTGTGGTGGCAGCAGGAGTCAATAAGGGGAAGGACGTGTAGTGCGGGCGACCAGACACCGCGGCCAAACAAGTATTCCTTTCAGACGGTGTCCGTGGCGCCGCCCGGGGACCCCAGTGTAATGGCAGCCAGGCAGCCCCTGGCCCGCCCCACCACCACCATGAGGGCTGGTGGAGGCCCTGGCCCGCCCCACCACCACCATGAGGGCTGGTGGAGGCCCTGGCCCGCCCCACCACCACCATGAGGGCTGGTGGAGGCCCTGGCCCGCCCCACCACCACCATGAGGGCTGGTGGAGGCCCTGGCTCGCCCCACCACCACCATGAGGGCTGGTGGAGGCCCTGGCCCGCCCCACCACCACCATGAGGCTGGTGGAGGCCCTGGCCCGCCCCACCACCACCATGAGGGCTGGTGGAGGCCCTGGCCCGCCCCACCACCACCATGAGGGCTGGTGGAGGCCCTGGCCCGCCCCACCACCACCATGAGGGCTGGTGGAGGCCCTGGCCCGCCCCACCACCACCATGAGGGCTGGTGGAGGCCCTGGCCCGCCCCACCACCACCATGAGGGCTGGTGGAGAGACCGACCTCCCTTGACTGATACATGTTCGTCTTGACAATCAACGGTCAAAGGTTCGTTAATCCAGCCGCCAACCCCAACTCTATTTATGAATGAAAACCACTTTACACACGACTCTCAAATGGTGTCATAGGGTGGTTGGGTTCAGGCGCCATGCTCCTCTTTAAGAAGGATCAGCTCCTATTCCGAATCTCGGCGACTCCTTTGAAGTATGAAATGTAAGTTTGATGGTCCATAGAGTGTAAAAGCAGATTTTGTGATTGTTATCAACGTCGATAACGTTGATTCAACGTTGATTCAACGTCGATAACGTTGATTCAACGTTGATTCAACGTCGATAACGTACATGGAACTCAAATTTCCACGTAGCCCGGGCTATGGTGAGCCCGTAAGTACACAAGGTTCCGAAAGAGTCCTTACACCAGGTTCTGAAGGCAGTTCTTATGTTGGCATGCGTGCCATATGCCGCTGATGATATCCTCTGGGTGTGGGTTTCAGGGGGCGGAAAGTTCTGGGTAATGTCAACCCCCCCAAGATCTTTCTACTTGGAGAATTTCATTTTCCAGTTGATATCTTCCGTCTCCATTCACCTGTTTTCATTACTTTACTAAGCTAAGGTGGAGCTAAGCTTTAGTAGCCATTTGTTGGATCATTCCTTCAGTTTGTCCAAGTAGTCCTTGAGTCTCTTGCTGTCTTCCGCTGTCTTAATCTTTCTCACAATTTTTGCATCATTAGCAAACATCGAGAGGAAAGAGCTAGACCCTCAGGAAGATCGTTTACCTAAATCAGAAACAGGATAGGTCTGAGGACAGACCCCTGTGGGACGCTGCTTGGGGACCCAGCTTGGGCGTGGGGTCCAGCTTGGGCGTGGGGTCCAGCTTGGGCGTGGGGTCCAGCTTGGGCGTGGGGTCCAGCTTGGGCGTGGGGTCCAGCTTGGGCGTGGGTCCAGCTTGGGCGTTGGGCCCGCCTAGGAATGCTCTACGGTGTCTTTCAACATAAAACATGTATAGATTCGCTTTCTGGAGCTACGGTGAGCTAAGCTCTACTAAGACTCGGATTGGAGGAAGTATGAAGTGAACGTCGAGCTTAATTTGAAAAGAATTTGGATTAGAAATATTTAGGGATAGAGAAGGTGTGTTGGGAGTGAGGGGGCGCGGATTGGGTGGATGGGGGCCAGGTGAAGGCTTGTCGGGGCCCTGCTGCTGCAATACCGCAGATGGGGCCACCACTCCCCCCATTAACTTGCCATCAAGCGGGGCCGCCCTCACTGACTCACCCACACAAGTGCTGCCTCACTGCCTGCCAGCCTCCCTGCCTGCCTCACTGCCTCCTCCCTGCCTGCCTGCCTCACTGCCTACCTGTCTGCCTGCCTCACTGCCTGCCTGCCTGCCTGCCTGCCTTCCTGCCTGCCTCACTGCCTGCCTGCCTGCCTGCCTGCCTTCCTGCCTGCCTTCCTGCCTGCCTCACTGCCTGTCTGCCTTCCTCCCTGCCTCACTGCCTGCCTGCCTGCCTGCCTGCCTGCCTGCCTGCCTGCCTGCCTGCCTGCCTGCCTG